TTTGAGTTATTCCTGGTGGTTTTTTCATAATGGTGATTCATTCCTCTTTTTGTGTTGTTGTGTTTTTTTTTTTTTTTTTGAGGACCTTTCTTTACCAAGCCACGACGTGGCACCAGATGGTTGAAACAGGCAAGAATAGTGGCAGAGGATGGGAAAAAAAAACAGACGGTTCTAGCTCTGTCCTGGTTGCCCCAGGCTGGGAAATGGCGTTGAAGATTTAGTGGTCCTATCTTATGGGCTCTCTCAAGGTGGTAGTATGTTCTCCTCTCTTCGCGCTCAAACCCATTCTCCCGACCCAGGCCTCCTGAGTAGTGGGACTAACAGGACAATGCCACCATACCTTAGCATTTCTGATTTTTGGTTAGAGATGAGGTTTTGCTGTGTTGCTAGGCTGGTCTAGAACCCTGTGCTCAAATGATTTTCTACCTTGGCTCCCAAAGCTGCTTTGGGATTACAGAAATGTGCCACTGGTGCCCGCCATTCCTACCTTTATTCCAAGCACAGGTCTTTGATATGCCTGTTCGTGATTTTGGTTTTTGTTGGTCTTCCCCCACTAGCATTGTAAGCTGCTTTAAGACAGGGCGCTTATGTGTCTCCTTTAAAGTGTTGCAGCGACCATACCGGTGTGCGCATGACCCACATCATGTCTTTTTGTCGTTTTTTTTTTTTTTTTTTTTTTGACCCTTCTTTTTTTGAGATGCAGTCATCTCACTCTGTCATGCAGGCTGGAGTGCAGTGAGCATGATCTCAGCCTCAGTCACCTGCAGGACCCTCCCCTCCTGGGGTTCAAGCCAATTCTGCCTGCCTCAACTTCCCAAGTAGCTGGGACCATAAGACACCCGTCACCATGCCCGGCTAATTTTTTTTGTATTTTTAGTAGAGATGGGGTTTCGCCATGTTGGCCAGGTTGGTCTCGAACTCCTGACCTCAAGTATCTGCCTGCCTCGCTTCAAAACTCAAAACGCAGGGATTACAGGCGTGAGGCACCGCACCCAGCCAGCCTACTTGTTTGTTGACTAAAGTGAATGGAGTTATACCTGGCACCTTACTGGGTCACTTACCTGACCTGGCCACTCTTTTTAAACAAGTGCTAGAGTGAGAGGACACTATACCTCCTGCCTTCATTACCACTTTTGCTTATGAATTTTCCTACTTAGGAATAAATACACTGTCAAATGGTTTATTAATCATCATTCCCATATGTTTTAAAAAGTGGGAACTTCAGGCTACTAATATATGTCCAAGTTACTAATATGTACTTATATAACTTTTACATAATTCTTCCCTAAATTTGGGGTAGCTTTTAAAATTAAGGCAAAATATTAGATTGAAACTGTAGGTATTGTAAGAAGATCAGAAACTATTTAAGGAAAGACACAAGGAAGCTGGGAGGGAGGCAGGAGGCACACAAAGTGGCTCTGAGTTCCTGGTAGGGAGGCCGGGAAGGGGAACAGATAGGTCTCATTTGTCTGATAAAATGAACCATAAAGTTTGAAGATACAAACTTTTACTTGCACTAAATTCTGAGAAAAATTTATTACAGGGATTCTTATATAGAAACAATGGATATGTAATTGATAATACCTTCAATTGTAATTTTCAGAAAACATGGAAATGTTATTCACATGGCTGTCTCTTTGCTAAAAGCAAAGAATACATTTATCCAGAAATACTGACTTATGGGATCTAGTTTGATACAGAAGTAAAAGTTGGACGGCTGGGCATGGTGGCTCACCCTTTAATCCTCGCACTTTGGGAGGCTGAGGTGGGTGGATTGCCTGAGCTCAGGAGTTCGAGACCAGCGTGGGCATCATGGTGAGACTCCATCCATCTCTACAAGAAATACAAAAATTAGCTGGGCGTCGTGGTATGTGCCTGTAGTCCCAGTTACTCCAGAGGCTGACTCAGGAGAATTGCTTGAACTCTGGGAGGTAGATGTTGCCGTGAGCCAAGATCACGCCACTGCACCCTAGCCTGGGCGACAGAGCGAGACTCTGTCTCCAAAAAAAAAAAAAAGTTGGAGAACCAAGAGAAATTGACTAACGAAACAGCCCTTAGGCTCTCTCTTGTGTTAGCTGTTAAACTGTTGACAAGAGTGTGGGCAGCAGCCTACTCATGACCTCACTAAAGAGGACCCAAAGGGTACATGTTACGTTGTTGACTGGAGATCAGAAAGCTTCAGATTCCAGAAGATGGCAAAGTTGATGATCTTCTACACAAACAAGGGAGGCCTGCTACAGTCTCACCCGGATTGAGGGCCAAATCACTCGTCCGGAGGTTGAGGGCAGCCACATCTGCAAACAGAACTGGGAGTGGACGGCACACACTTTAACACGTGAAGCTGGGTGTGGGAGAGGCCATTTCTCACTGTTACTTTCATTACCTATTCTGGAAGTGAAATTTCAGGCCGACCAGAAAGCTGTGTGTGCCCAAATCACTCCAGTGTTTCTCATATGAAAACTTGTACACCTTAATTCACCAAAGAATTTGGTGGGATTTAAACAAAGATAAAACAGTAAAACTGTAGGTATTAAAAAAGAGATTATAAAATATTTAGGGAAAGAGAAAGGATAATTTGACCAGGAAGCTGGGGTACTGTGGTGAGCTGGCGCTTATCTCACAGGGTCGTTATGAGGATTAACCGAGATAATTCGTGGAAAGCAATTTGCCTATCGTCCAGGACACAGATAAATATTAATCTCCTTTACTGTTTCCTTTTCTGTAGGCAACAGGTAACCACTGAAGCTTTTTTTTTTTCAGATGGAGTTTCGCTGTTTTAGGCCAGGCTGGAGTGCAATGGCAAGATCTTGGCTCACTGCAACCTCCAGCTCTGGGTTCAAGTGATTCTCCTGCCTCAGCCTCCCAAGTAGCTGGGATTACAGTCACCTGCCACCATGCCCAGCTGATTTTTGTAGTTTTAGTAGAGATGGGGTTTTACCATGTTGGCCAGGTTGGTCTTGAACTTCTGACCTCAGGTGATCCGCCCACCTCTGCCTCCCAAGGTGCTGGGATTAGTCATGAGCCACTGTGCCTGGCCCACTGAAGCTTTTTAAGAGGCAATGAAATGGTCAGAATTCTGTTTAAGGAAAATTATAGGTTCAGTGATAACAGAAGCAGCAATTTGAAGTTTAAAGACATTTACATTTGAGTTGGCAACAACTTTGGGTCCCAAGTTGTTTTAAGCCACTTAAGAGGCTTAAAACATTCATATGCAAATCTCTGAACCCAAGAAAATACATTCCTCTTAACCCTAGGCCTGGCCGTTAGGAAAATCTTTTTCTGAGCCAAAGAATCTCATACTTTTAGGTTTACACTTTAAGACATTTTCTCAGGATTAATTGTAAATTCCTTAGAGGCAAAAATAGTCATTTACTTTTATTCTTATTTCCATAGAAACTAATAGAACTGGACAAGAAGCAAGACTTAGGTTTAATTGTGTGCGGACTTTATTTCAAGTGGTTTTCCTTGTCTTAACAAGCTACGCAGAATTTGTCAGCATTGTGTTATGTAGAATAGGACCTGGTTAAAACAGAAAACTATGTTGAGAAAAATGCCACCTCCTCTAAAGTAATGTGAATGGTAGTGGTTATTCCCTCAAATGAGTCTTTTTGGAATATGAGAACTCATTCCAGTGAAGCTATCGTTGCTGAAAACATTTTTGGATCTTCTTTTCTTTTGTGGAAAGAAAGATTACGGTAAGATGAAAAGGATGTACTCAGGTGCCCTGGCCTCACTGGGGTTTGATCACATCTCCTCTACTTAGAAGTGATGTGGCCTTCAGCAAAAGAGTCTGGTATGTCGACTCTAAAGGGGGATCTCAGATGCCATGGCTCATGCCTGTAATCCCAGCACTTTGGGAAGCCAAGGCAGGTGGATCACTTCAGGCCAGGAATTTGAGACCAGCCTGGCTAACATGGTGAAACCCTGTCTCCACTAAAAATATAAAAATTAGCCAGGTGTGGTGGCACATGCCTGTAGTCCCAGCTATTCAGGAAGCTGAGGCAGGAGAATCACTTGAACCTGGGCTTGAACCCGGGAGGCGGAGGTTGCAGTGAGCCGAGATCATGCCATTGCACTCCAACCTGGGTGACAGAGTGAGACTCCGTCTCCAAAAAAAAAAAAAAAAAAAAGAATCTCATATATATATACATATATTTGAGACAGAGTCTTGCCCTGTCACTTAGACTGGATTGCAGTGGTGCAATCATAGCTCACTGCAGTCTCAACCTCTTGGGCTCAAGCAATCCTCCTATCTCAGCCTCTCGAATAGCTGGGACTACAGATGCACATCAGCAAGCCAGGTTAATTGTTTTATTCTTTGTAGAGACAGTCTGTCACTATGTTGCCCAGGCTGGTCTGGAACTCCTGGGCTCAAGTGATCCTCCCACCTTGGCCTCCCAAAATTGCTGGGATTACAGGTGTAAGCCACCAAGCATGGGCCAGTACATCTCTTTGTACACCAGTAGTTGTTTCTTAGCCATGGAATAAATACGATTTTTCAGAAATAGCCAAGCTATTTGAAACCAAATCTGTTAAATAAGTATAGAATAGTGATTTTGCTTTTTTAAAAAACAAAGGTTTTTTGGACAATATAACGAGAGGGCTTTCACAGCTAGTTATTAGATACATGAGAAAAATCAGTTCTTACAGAATTCTAAATGGGACATTTGGTTTCCCAAGATAAATTACTTAAAGGACACTATATGAAGAATTGACATATGATGTGTTTGCTTAAAAATGCACTCTGCGGCTGGGTGTGGTGGCTCATACCTGTAATCTCACCACTTGGGGAGGCACGCAGATCACTTGCGGTCAGGAGTTCAAAACCAGGCTGGCCAACATGGTGAAACCCCATCTCTACTAAAAATGCAAAAATTAGCTGGGTGTCGTGGCGTGCACCTGTAATCCCAGCTACTTGGGAGGCTGAGGCAGGAGAATCGCTTGAACTCAGGAGGCAGAGGTTGCAGTGAGCTGAGACTGTACCACTGCACTCCAGCCAGGGCGACATCTCAAAAAAAAAAAACCAAAAAAAAAAAAAACACCAAAGCACTCTGCAAGCTTACTGGCTAACTCTTGTACATTGCAGCTGGGAAAGTTTGATGCCTCTGAGGGCGATGCCAAAGCCAGGTGGGCTGCTGCGGCATGAGCATGGAGTAAACGCATCAAACTTCATCACAGATGACGGATGATGACTGCAGTGGGAAAACCCACACAGGGACCTGCAAGCACGTCTCAGGAAGAGCTGTCTTACTAGGGGCAAACTTATGGTAAAGGATGATGCCATCATTTGATAAAATGTTCTGTCATGCTTTTAGCGGCGAGTTTTTAACAAGAAAGCAAAACACTCACCATGAACCAAATGTTAACATCAATGTCAACCAAGTCACATCATTTCCTGTTCCACTTGGTTTTGAAATTCAACTTCTCCTTTATTTAAAAATGACATATCAAAACCAGTCTTCTTGAAGAGGTAACTTAGGAAATGGAGCAATTTACTGTGGCTTTAGAGGATGTAAAGGGCTTCGTGCAGTCGGACACGTACAGGGCAGCAGCTGGAGGCATGAAGACATAGGGCCATCACTCAATGTGGTCCCCGGGCCAGCAGCAACTGCACAACGTGGAGCTCCTTAGAAAGGCAGGATCCTGGACCTCACCCTGTTTCAGAACCCACATCTTTTTTTTTTTTCTTAATTTGCAAAAATTTATTCATATACAAATGTGCAATGTCAATAACATGACCAATTAGGTTTGTTCTTGAAACATTTTCAATTGAACAGGAATTAAGTGCTTTTGAAAAGTGACAAAATGATCATACAGTGAAGATCTCTCTTTATATAACAGGTATAAATCAGGTACTAACTCTTGATTTTACTCTGAATTAACCATGACATACTAAACGAACTTGGGCTTCCGGCAGAACCTACATCTTAAGGCGAGCTCCAGGGGATGGGTAAGCACATTAAGGCTTAGGAAGCACTGTTCTAGGTAACAGCTCAGGTCTCTGGGCTTAGCACTACAGGGAGAATGTGACTAGGAAATGGAGACTTGGGTTCTGATCTCAGGCTTACCACTAAATACTTGCTGTTTCCCATTAGCCCTGCCTGCTTCTCAGGACTGTGGAAGACCAAATGGGATCCTTATTAACAAGGTTCTGTAAGATCTGGGCCCAGCCTGTCTCAGACCTTATCCTGTACTACTTTCTATTTTGAGTTGGGCTTTGTAGCCAGGCTGACCTCAAGCAGAGCTTGTTTCTGCCTCAGGGCCTTTGCACAGGCTGTCTTCTCTGCCTGGAACACCCTCCCTTTTGACCTCTACACTGCAGTTGCCTCCTGTTAATCAGATCTCAGCCTAAATGTTCTCTCTCCAGTGAGACCCTCCCAGACCACCCAGTCCAGTGTCCCCGGTAAGTCTAACTCTTTAACTCTCTGCAAGGCACTTCTCACTCCATCCAAGCAGGGACTGAATGTCTTACTCCTGGTTCAAGGCACTGGTGCCTTGAACCATGCCTGGCACACTGTGTGCTCAACGCACATTTGTTTAATGAGTAGCTTAAGGCGGTAAAGACACTGGAAAAAACAAGGGACTGCACGAGTATCAAATACCTTTGTCAAGAAATAAAACCTCCCCAAGCCGTGTGCGGTGACTCAATTCCAGCACTTTGGGAGGCTGAGGTGGGTGGATCACCTGGGGTCAGGAGCTCGAGACCAGCCTGACCAACATGGGAAACCCCATCTCGACTAAAAATACAAAAAATTAGCCGGGTGTGGTGATGTGCATTAGCTACTCAGGAGGCTGGGGCAAGAGAATCTCTTGAACCTGGGAGGTGGAGGTTGCAGTGAGCCGAGATCATGTCACTGCCACTCCAGCCTGGGCAACAAGAGGGAAACTCTGTCTCAAAAAACAAAAAAGAAAAAAAAAACAAAAACAAACACCTCCCTTGCCTTCCCCTACTGATTTCTCTTGGAAATGACAGCAATGTTACCCTGATTACTCTCGCAGCCCATATCCTGCAAATGGAAATCTGCCAACTTCAACCAGGAAGAAAAGATGGAATGCAGGTTGTTTTTTTATCGCATTTCAAGGAACGATCATTCATTCACTGCCTATACATCCTTCCTTCCAGCATCACTGTGAAACTCTGCAAGCATATTAGGTTAATTTCATCCATTCCTCTTGAAAAAGTGAAGGACTTAAACCAGAAAAGTGGCCACAGAGGTCACAATACAGGATGGTTAACGTCACTGTGTTAACAGTGCCTTGGCCAAGGACAGCCAGATGGCCCGGAGGCTGGCCTGGCAAAGCCGCTGGAGAGTTGGGGAGGGCTGCGGGTTAACAGCAGGGAGCACATACTTCATCAGACTACAAGCCGGGAGCCGTCCAGAGGTGCCTTCTGCCACAGAATGGAAATTTAATAATGGTTTATTGGTTTAGTTGTGATTTTCAGTTAAGCATGACAGAAATTGGTTTTAAGTCCAATATTAGAGGTTCTAAAATGTTAGTTCACACAGTCTAATGATGTATGACGGGAGAAGGCCACAGCTGTTTTCTTTAATCTATTTACAATCTTCCCAGCAGAAAGGCTAAATGAACTCTCATACCATTATCAGGTCAGGGCTAAATGCAGCCCCGATCACAGGTAGTGATGCCTTCTTATGAACTACCTCTGCCTGACTTTCCTTAGCTCAGAAAATACTACAAAGGGAAAAGGCGTGCTGAGAGCCTCTGCTGCTCTGCCAAGCATACAGAATAAACAGAGCAATGGCCCCATCTACTGACACAGGCTAAAGCGGCACACAGGACGTGCGGCAACACAAGCAATCCTGCCTCAAGCTCCTCTTCACGCCTGTGACTCACAGCACTGCTGAGGAATGTCTGATGCCTAGTGAACTACTTTATTATTGTCCTCAGGCACAAGGTAATACGAGGGGTTTCTAGTATTTTCTCTAGGGTTCCAGGTCTTCATTCCTGTGTATGCCATTTTTTTTTTGAGACGGAGTCTTGATCTGTCGCCCAGGCTAGAATGCAATGGCACGATCTTGGCTCACTGCAAGCTCTGCCTCCCGGGTTCATGCCATTCTCCTGCCTCAGCCTCCCGAGTAGCTGGGACTACAGGGCCTGCCACCATGCCTGGCTATTTTTTTGTATTTTTAGTAGAGATGGGGTTTCACCCATCAAGACCGTGTTAGCCACGATGGTCTTGATCCCCTGACCTCATGAGTTTATACCTAGTTTTTTTTTTTTCGAGACAGTCTCGCTCTGTCACCCAGGCTAGAGTGCAATGGCACGATCTCGGCTCACTGCGACCTCCTGCTCCCAGGTTTAAGCGATCCTCCTGCCCCAGCCTCTTGAGAAGCTGGGATTACAGGTGCACACCACCACACCCGGCTAATTTTTTTGTATTTTTATACAGATGGGGTTTCATCATGTTGGTCAGGTTGGTCTCGAACTCCTGACCTCATGATCCGCCTGCCTCGGCCTCCCACAGTGCTGGGATTACAGGTGTGAGCCACCATGCCTGGCTGTTTATGCCTAGTTTTAAATTAGCTGGACAGCTCCAGATGCAACCAGAGGTGCAATGGTTTTGTATCGGATCAAGTGCTGTGAGCCCTCTTCCAGGTCAATCACGTAGTCCCTGAAAAAGAGGGAAACATATTCGCCTGTAGAGCTCGGCTGGCCCTCCATTGGGAGGAATGTGCCCACTGTGAAAGATGCACGCCACTCACCTCTGCTCATCTGTGTCTGGTTCTACCAGTATGTTTTCTTGTCGTTCTCTCACTCTCAGAAACACGTAAGAATCTAGATCTGGTTTGGGAACTGCCAGGAAAATAATAATGTGATCAGGAAATGCTTGGCCAACAAAGTCAACAAAGGAAAAGTTGCTGGGAGGTATGGCACACTCAGGGTTTAGATAGGAGTCCAGCCCTTTCCTATTCTTCTAAGATGCAGACAGAGTGGCTGACCAGGGAGGGAACTGGACACGGATTGGGCCTTTTGTTTTCCTCAGGCAGCCTCAGCAAAATGACCAATTCAGGGTTTCATAAGTCTGATATGGGTCTGACTTGCAGCTGGTGTTATGGGCTACACTGTGTCCCTGCAAAATTCATATGTTGAAGCCCTAACCCCCAATACTTCAGCATGGGATTGTATTCGGAAACAGGGCTTTTAAAGAGGCAATTAAGTGAAAGTGTGGGCCCTAATCCAATCTGACTGGTGTCTTATAAGTAGAGAATAGGCCAGGCAGTGGCTCATGCCTGTGATCCCAGCATTTTGAGAGGCTGAGGCTGGAGGATCAATTGAGGCCAGGAGTTTGAGACCAACCTAGAAAACAATAGCAATACTGTCTCCACAAAAAAATTTTAAAAATAATAGCCAAGCATGGTGGCACATGCCTGTAGTTCCAGCTACTTGGGAGGCTGAGGTGGGAGGATCACTTGAGCACAGCAGTTCAAGGCTGCAGTGAGCTATGACAGCGTCAAAGTACTCCAGCCAGGGCAACAAAGCAAGACCTTGTCTCAAAAAATAAAAAAACAAAAAAAAAAAGGGCGGTGGGAGGGAGGGGACTAGGACACAGAGACTGGCATTAGTGATCTTACGGAAGTAGCCTGAGAGTCTGCTTGCCCCTTGCCCTTTGCCCCTTCCCTTCTCTGTGGCGACATATGGAAGGCGCCATCGATGAGGAACAGGCCCATGGCAGATACTGAACCTGTCGGGGCCTGGATCCTGGACTTCCCGGCCTCCAGAACTGTGAGTAGCCCAAAGGGACTAAGACCTTGTTCCACCACCACAGGGGTGGCCGTGTGGCCCCCAGCCCCAGCACAGGCTGGGCAGAGATGAATTTCCAGGGCTTGGGTGCACTGGAGCTCGTGGCCTTGGAACACTAAGCTCAGCTTGTAGACAAGGCGGGCTCCAGACCCCTGGAGGGCATTTGATTTGGTGTGGCAATTTTACCTGAGGCAGTCTTGCTTGGATCTGGCGCACTGTGAAACACTGAGGAACATGGGCTTTATCCTGTAAGCCAGGGGCCCCCGGTGGGTTGATCCACGGTTAAGGGCTCTACCTATACCTCCCTTTCCTTGCTCAGCAGCCCTCAGGAGCCGGTGCAGAGAGGCCCGTGGAGGGGCTCCGGCCAAGCTGCCCTTCCCCGGCTTCCCTCCCTCATCTTTCCATACCCTCCAACCTGCTCCCTCTTCTAAGGCCACAGGGACCCAGTGGAGGTCTCCCTAGCCTCCTGTTTCAGCCCTCCCCTCCAGCTAGGCGGGCCCTGCGCATTCTGGGACCTGTGAGGAAGAGACCACCAGCCCCTCAGAGCAGGGGCAATGTTGGCGTGGGCTCTGCAGCACTGGTACTCGGGGCTGCCAGCACCTCGCAGAGGCTCAGCAGATGGCTAGCTACTGAAGGCGAACGCAGCTCCATGCCCGAGTCTACAAGCACCAGTGCAGTCACGGGGCTCAGCCCACCCCAGGGAACACGGAAGCAATGCTCAAATGACTACCATCGGATCTGCTTTCTGTTATTTTTTTGGATTTTAGCCAGAACCCTTCCTCTCCTTTCTGTTTATCTACATACTTATTTTCCCATATTTGGGTAAAAACAGTGAAGAGAGGATCCTACCCTGGGACACCTGAGGATGGGTGGGCCACCTGCAGGGAGAATGTCCTGTTTACCTGCCCGAAAGAGGTCCACCTTCTGTAAGTTAGGGGGCATGTGCTTCAAGGCGACATTTTTCAGATAGGTCTCTGTGTTCACCATGAACCTGAAAGACATGGATTCAAACTGCTGTGGTGTGCACAGCTGATGGACGTCCAAGGTTAGCAGGCAGCAGCGCACAGCCCTCGAGGACAGGCCTCATGCTGAACCAGCCAGGTGCCCCATGCCGACAGCTCACTCACTCACTCTCTGGCAAAGGCCAACTCTTCCGGGGAGAGGCTGGAAGGCTCCCCCTCGGGCCGGGTTTTCTCCTTCTCAAGGACATGAGGGAAAAACTTCTCTATCTGTGAGGATAAAGCAAAATCTTCATGAAAACGTTGGTAAAAGTCAAAGACAAGGATGTGGTTAACATAAAGAGAGTTTACACAACTCTCCCGAGGAAGGACGTGTGGTCTGGAGGTGGGACAGTGTGGGTAGAGAGGCACCCCATAAGACACGGGACATCATCTCTGAGACACCCTTGCAGACAAGCTGTGGACGTGGGGCTGGGGGACAGCTTGGATTGGGAGACTCCTAAGTGGCTGAACAAAGAATGCTGACTCAATGGGTAGATGTCAAACTGTAAGGAAGTCTTTGGTGAGAGATCCTTAACACAGTCTAATTAATATTCACATAAGGTTTTTTGTTTTTTTTTTGAGATGGAATCTCATTGTGTTGCCTAGGCTGGAGTGCAGTGGTGCGATCTTGGTTCACTGCAACCTCCACCTCTCGGGTTCAAGTGATTCTCCTGCCTCAGCCTCCTGAGTAGCTGGGATTACAGGCACCCACCACCACACCCAGCTGATTTTTGCATTTTTAGAGATGGGGTTTCACCATGTTGTCCAGGCTGGTCTTGAACTCCTAACCTCAGGTGATCCACCTGCCTTGGCCTCCCAAAGTGCTGGGATTACAGGCATGAGCCACTGCCCCTTGGCTGGTCATCACCAGCTTTTGGTCATCAAAAACCTTATGTGGGCCGGGCACAGTAGCTCATGCCTGTAATCCCAGCACTTTGGGAGGCTGAGGTGGGGGTGGATCACCTGAGCTCAGGAGTTCGAGATCAGCCTGGCCAACATGGTGAAACCCTGTCTCTTCTAAAAATCAGGCAGGCATGGTGGCAGGGGCATGTAATCCCAGCTACTTGGAAGGCTGAGGCAACAGAATCACTTGAACCCAGGAGGGGAAGGTTGCAGTGAGCTGAGATCGCACCACTGCACTCCAGCCTGAGCAACAGAGCGAGACTCCGTCAAAAAACAAAACAAAACAAAAGAAAACACACACAACCCAGCAAATAAAAAAACAAGGGGGCTGATGACATAAAGTATTAAGAGACAGCTAATACATTAGGTGACAAGATCAGGATCCACAGACAAGGGAAATGGCCCAGTTTAATAAGATAAAGTTTAAGAGGAATAAGTATCAAGCCCTACACTTAAGGAGCCAAAACCTAAGCCGTGCAAGTAGAGGACAATGACTGGATGGGATAATTATCATATTAAAAGGGGTTAGCGTCCATGTGAGTGAAGAATGAGCTCAGGCAGCGTACCTGTCAATATGCTAATGTGATAAATATGCTAATGTGATGTGGTTGGCATTACTACCAGCTTAATAATCAGAATAAGAGAAATGATCAGGCTGTTTTTCACAAACTTGGTCAAACTACAACTGGGATACTGTGTTTAGTTTTAGATAGTGTAACTCAAGAAGGATAAAGACAAACAAGAACCCTTTTAGAGACCAGGAGAGTAAATGGTTTGAATGGCTAAAATGTGTGCCTGAGAGAAGACTTCGAGGAGACTGTGGGCAGTCTTCAGATAGCTGAAGCATTCTCGTGTAGAAGAGATAATTTATTTTATTTGTAATAACTAAAGAGACACATAGAACCAAATGAAATGTCAAGGAAGTAGGAATTTCTCAGGGTTATAAAATAGGAATGTTTTGCAATCTCTTTTCCTTTTTTTTATTTTGAGGCGGAGTCTCGCTCTGTCACCCAGGCTGGAGTGCAGTGGCACGATCTCAGCTTACTGCAACCTCCACCTGCTGGGTTCAAGCAATTCTCCTGTCTCAGCCTCCAGAGTAGCTGGGACTACAGGTGCCTGCCACCGTGCCCGGCTAATTTTTTTATTTTTAGTAGAGATGGGGTTTCACCTTGTTGGTCAGGCTGGTCTCAAACTCTCCTGACCTCAGGTGATCCACCCTCCTCAGCCTCCCAGTGCTGGGATTACAGGCGTGAGCCACCATACCTAGCCTGCAATTTCATTTTTGTAAGTTAGATAGCCACAAAGCTGTAGGCGAATGTAAGTCATCCTGGCTCATTTGACATTGACGCTGGCCATCTGACAGGCAAAATAATTTTGGAAACAAGTTCTCCTCTAGTCAGCATTCCCTATTCACCAACGCCAACGACTCTCCCTTCAGCACCGCCATGCTGTAATGCAAGGGGGCACCATTCACTCAGCAGGTGAACAGACTAAAAATGTGTGCGGTGTTCCCGCAGTGGGCAACACATGCCTCTCTGTGCTTCTGCGGAGCAATCTCTCGCTCTCCTTACACTTTAGCTACACTGATATTGGGCTCTCAGCAGTGTCTTCAGGTCCTGCACCCTCCTGGGCCCCAGTCCAAGTTCTCCCCAGGACATTCAGTCTGCTTTACAGACTGCGCTGTCTCAATGCCTCCAGGTATCTCCACGTCAAACCTTCATGAGGCGACACCGCAAGTAGCTGCTGAGGACGTAGCGGATCCTCTCCATCTCCATTTGGTGGATGCTGACCTTCAGGTCCTCCCTTTTGGCTCTCCTGAGATTTTCTTCCTATTAAATGAGAAACTAAAGTTTATAAAAAACATGATGTTCAACCATCATCATTGGCAACGTTGAGGACCCAGACTATGTTTTAGTCCAAGGAAAACAAAAATATCATGTGAGTTTTCATTTTATTTTATCATTGTATAAAGTGCAAACAATAGTCATTTACTTTTAGAAAATGACCATTTGAATAGAATATGTTCAGCCAGAGGGTTCCAGAAGAACTCCAGTCCGATTGTAAGGGAGATAATACAGCACACAGAAGAAACTTCCATTGGGCCTAAAAAGCAGTATTAAAACACCAGCTGAGAAACTGTGAAATATCCACATTTCACAGCTTCTCTGAAGTTGACAACGATTTAGACTTAGATAATCTAGGCCAGGGACCACAAACTCAAATGTCTGCAGGGGCCAGGTTAGGAGGCTACAAGAGAAGGGTGGGTAGTCAGGGACTGTGGGGAGCAGGGAGTACATGGATGGGTAGCTCTCATAGGACTGCTCTGGTCAACTGTTCTCATGCAGAAATGCAGGATTTTAGACTTTTCATGGGAAGCCAATATCCAGATATTTACAAGAACTCTCAAGCTTGATAAACATAGATAACTAATTCAATGTTTTTTTTTAAAGAACTGGACTGTGGGTTGGAGCCAAACAAAACAGATTTGCTATCAGACCGCAAGCTCTCAGTGTGCTCATCAAATGCTTTTACCTTTCTGCTCCTTTGTCAGCCCAAGACAAGCGACTCTTACCATGTGCTCCAGCTGTTCCACGACACATTCTACAATCTCAGGCTTGCTCTCCAGCAGCTCAGGGGCAAACTTTTCATTCATCCAGGCCTAAAAGACAAATGCCAGAAAAACCAAGCATCATCCACCACAGAGCTAAACAACCTTGTGAGTCAGCCCAAGTCCCACAAAAACCAGGGACGGTGCAGGCGAGAAAACGGTCTGCCCACCAACTGGAAACACTGAAGCTGTTTTGAAGACAAACTACATTTAGCAATTGCTTTCTCATGTCCTGTTTTAGTTGGGAGGATATGTTCATAACCTTCTATTCAACTGACACTCACACAAACCCTTGCTTACTTCAGTTAGTATGACGCCCGGTGCTGAGAGTGACACCACCTGGTGTTCAAACCGTGGCTTTGCCAGGCAGCCCAGGCACACTGTTACTCCACCAGCTCCTTCCTCCCAGGGAGCACCACCCCATGTCTATTTAGAGAGAAAGCAACAACCCACCAATCCACACAGCTCTTCATTCCTGAAGCTCAGAGCACTTCACAAATGTTTTTAATTCATCATCATCATATCACAGAGAAAATGGATATAGTTATCCTCATCTGATTGAAAAAATACAGATTGAGTAATTTACTAATGGCCCCAAAGTATACAGGATCATAATAGAAACAGGCGCTCATCTATTATGGAGTTTCGGAGCCAGAGGTTAAAGCTCTAATTTATGACTCAGGCCCAGCTGTTTGGTTCATTTTAGAGACTTCTAAGGCTTAGAGAACTGAAATATCCCTAAGTGACTGACGAAAGCTACACTTATCTTTCAATTACAGGAAATGTAGTTTTAGCATAGCTCAGAATTATATGCTGACCAGGCTCAACTTATTTTTTTCTGATGTCCTTGAGTGTCTGCTTCTCTCCATGATCACCATCAAGACACATTACCAAATGCTGGGCATGGCCACTGTCATAAGTGTTTGTGCAGAGCCTGAGCATCTGCAATAGTTCTGCAGACTGAAACAAACAAACAAAACCCTGCATAATGCATGGGAAAACATTGTATTTTCTGACGGGCTTATTAGGAGCAGTATTTCTTTTTGACTGATTTTTATTAAATACTGAATAATTTTTATTTATTTATTTTTGAGGGACAGTCTCACTCTATTGCCCAGGCTGGGGAGCAGAGGCATGATCCCAGCTCACTGCAACCTCTGCCTCTCGGGTTCAAGCGATTCTCCTGCCTCAGCCTTCCAAGTAGCTGGAATTACAGGCATGTGCCACCATGCCCAGCTAATTTTTGTGTTTTTATTAGAGACAGGGTTTCACCATGTTGGCCAGGCTGGTCTTGAACTCCTGACCTCAAGTGACCCACCTGCCTTGGCCTCTCAAAGTGCTGGGGTTACAGGTGTGAGCCACTGAGCCCAGCCAAATATTGAATAATTTTTAAAACTAGAAGAACAAGCTGGGCGTGGTGGCTCATGCCTGTAATCCCAGCGCTTTGGGAGGCCGAGGTGGGCGGATCATGAGGTCAGGAGATCAAAACATCCTGGCTAACCTGGTGAAACCCCGTTTCTACTGAAAATACAAAAAATTAGCCGGGCTTGGCACGCCTGTAATCCCAGCTACTTGGGAGGCTGAGGCAGGAGAATTGCTTGATTCTGGGAGGCAGAGGTTGCAGTGAGCAGAGATCGCGCCACTGCCCTCCAGCCAGGGCAACAGAGCAAGACTCCGTCTCAAAAACAAACAAACAAACAAACAAACTACGAGAACAATGACAAGTCCCTGTGTGTCCCTACCTCCTCAGAGGTAATCACTAGCTTGAATTTCGTGTTGAATTTCCTTTATGGTTTCACTACATTTGTTCATATCTCTATAGAATACCTCTCAACTGTTCATGACAGGATATTCAAAGAAAGTGATAGTGCTTGTCTGGTACACTGGGGTACCATTGGGGACCACTTCATTTATATTATGAAATTATGATGATAAAGTATAAAACATTAGGTGGAAGTTTATATTAGTATAAAACTTTCATATAAATCTTTCCAAAATTTTTACTGAGAAACTTGTATCAAAATCCAGTCTTTTTTTTTTTTTTTTTAAATCAGGTTTTACACTTGAAATGGCTACATCTGGTTTCTGGTCACACAGTGGCACGATAATGGCTCACTGCATCCTTGACCTCCCAGGCTTAAGTGATCCTCCTGCCTCAGCATCCAGAGTAGCTGGGACTACAGGCACATACCACAAAGCCTGGCTAATTTTTAAATTTTTTTAATAAAAATGGGGTTTTACCATGTTGCCTATGGTGGTCTTCGAACTCCTGGCCTCAAGACATCCCCCTGTATCAGCCTCTAGAAGTGCTGGGATTACAGGCTTGAACCACCGTGCCTAGCCCCTGATCAAAATTCTAAATACCAATCAGTTCATTATTGCTACAGGCTTAAGTGTGTCCCCCCTCAAAAATCTACCTAACTTCCAGGACCTCAGACTGTGACTATATTTGGAGATGGGGGTCTTTAAACAAGTGATTAAGTTGCCATAATCCAGTAAGACTGGTGTCCTGATAAGAGGTAATTTTAACACAGACACACACGAGAGGGAAGACCACGCAAGGACACAGGGAGAATATGGTCACCTACAAGCCTAAGGCAGAGGCCTGGGAAGAAGCCAACTATGCTGGCACTTTGACCTGAGCCTCTAGAATTAAGAAAATAAATTTCTATTTAAGCTACCCAGTCTTTGGGACTTTGCTCTGCGGCCATAGCAAACTAAAACAATCATTAAAATGAGCAAATCTGCACTACAGGTAATAACTTTTAAATCACTTTTTTTTTTTTTTTTTTTTTTTGAGACGGAGTCTCGCTCTGCCGCCCAGGCTGGAGTGCAGTGGCCGGATCTCAGCTCACTGCAAGCTCCGCCTCCCAGGTTCACGCCATTCTCCTGCCTCAGCCTCCCGAGTAGCTGGGACCACAGGCGCCCGCCACCTCGCCTGGCTAGTTTTTTGTATTTTTTAGTAGAGACGGGGTTTCACCGTGTCAGCCAGGATGGTCTCGATCTCCTGACCTCGTGATCCGCCCGTCTCGGCCTCCCAAAGTGCTGGGATTACAGGCTTGAGCCACCGCGCCCGGTCTTAAATCACTTTTTACAGGTATTAAAGGGTATCCTATATATGCTCCCAAAGCTGTTCTCATCAGTGGCCCTGTCAGGCTGTCCCTTTGGCTGTGTCACACAGCATAAGAGACAGGATCTGGCTGTGGCAGCCATGCAGGTGGTGGGTCACTTCCTTGGCAGCACTCAGGGCACTGCACTGGAACATCAGGCATGAGATGTTACTCTAGCTCAACCACCGGCAAGCCACAGCGGTGCTGTCAGACCCCCCGCCGCCATCCTCTAGCTGCCTTTCAAGGACCCCAATGATGCTCACTTGAAAAAGCAACCAGCCTGGGGCTCTGGCTGTCCTGGAAGGTGCAGGGGTCCACACTGAGGCATCTGTGGCACAGCAGTGTGCCACATCACCCAAGGGTGGTGGCTCTGCCTTGAACAGTAATTTTGCAAGTTTGAACTTTACGTAAAGTTTCTTTGGCAGCTCATATTTTATGGTTGTTATTGTTCTACATTATGTTCCTGTTATTCATGCTGTTTCAGGAGTTATTTTACTCATTTTCACTGCTATTTCCACTGTACATGGTATATTTTCTCAATGCTATTTATTTATGGTTATCTAGGTTATTTTCATTTTTAACTATTGCAAGCAATGTGTGAAAATATGGTAGATGTCTCCTAGAGTATATGCGGAAGTTTTCACTAGGTATGTACCTGGGGGTGGAATTACTGGACCACAGGTATGTGCACCTTCATCTTTACTAGACAATAACAAATTATTTTCCAAAGTGATTACACCTATTTACATCCCATGGCTGTATATAAGTGTGCAAATTGCTCTACTTTTTTTTTTTTTTTGAGACGGAGTCTTGCTCTGTTGCCCAGGCTGCAGTGCAGTGGTGTGATCTCAGCTCACTGCAATCTCCACCTCCTGGGTTCAAGAGATTCTCCTGCCTCAACCTCCTGAGTAGCTGGGATTACAGGCGTGACAACACGGCCGGCTAATTTTTGTATTTTTAGTAGAGATGGGGTTTCGCCACGTTGGCCAGGATAGTCTTGAACTCCTGACTTCAGGTGATCTGCTCGCCTCGGCCTCCCAAGGTGCTGGGATTACAGGTGTGAGCCACCGAACCTGGCCTGCCCTATATTCTTAATTTTTTTCTTTTTGGGATAAGATCTTGCTATGATCCTCAGGTTGGTCTCAAACTCCTGGGCTCAAACGAACCTCCCACTTTGGCCTCCTGAGTTGCTAGAACTACAGGCATGAGCCACTGCGCTCAGCTGCTCTACAATTCTTGCCATACTTTACATTGCTCACGTTTTTCAGTTCTTCCAATCTGATAGATATGAAATGATATCTCATGATTTTAATTTTCATTTTCCTGATCACTAAAAAGGTTGAACATCTTTTTCATATACTTATTGGCCATCTTGTTTTCTTCTTCTTCCAGGTATCAGTCTGTATTGGGCAGTCTGAAAGAGTTGTTTATGTACTGTGGATAATCATCTTGTGTCAGCTACATATTAACATTTTGCAAGTATCTTCTCCCAGCATGGTGGCCTGTCTTTTCACTCTAATCCAGAAGTACAAACAGGCAGGGCACAGTGATTCACACTTGTAATCCCAGCACTTTGGGAGGCGAAGGCAGGCAGATCACAAGGTCAGGAGTTTGAGACCAGCCTGGCCAACATAGCGAAACCCAATATAGTGAAACCCCATCTCTACTAAAAACACAAAAATTAGCCGGGCGTGGTGGCGCACGCCTATAGTCCCATCTACTCAGGAGGCTGAGGCAGGAGAATCACTTGAACCTGGGAGGCAGAGGTTGCACTGAACCAAGATCATGCCACTGCACTCCAGGAATGTATCCCTTTTTTCTTTTATGCTTTGTGCCTTTTGATTTTTGTTTAATGAACCCTTTCCTAATGAACAAGGAACTCTTATGCTGTTCCACAAACTAGGTCTGTGGGTGGATTTCAGGGGATCTGTGATGCCCTGGAAGTCATATGCAAAATTCTGTTTAATCTGCATATGTATATGGGGAGGTATAGGATCCATAGCTTCTTTCTTTTTTTTTTTTTGAGACTTCCCAGAAGTCATATGCAAAATTCTGCATGGGTGCATGTGTGCGTTATTCCGGGATGAAAGACCAGAGTTTTTACCAGTTTCTCAAAAAGGTCTGTGATATAAAAACAGATTAAGAATCAGTGCTGAATAGTAAGGATCATCATATAAGGTATAATTCAAAAATTATTTTAGTTCGGTTTTGGCATTCATGATATCATGTATGGCAGGGAAGAGTGAAGAATACTAAAGTCGCAAACATGAGAGAGCTCTGGAAAGGGGCAGTTAGAGCAAGAGGGTAAGGATAATTACTATGAACAGCTCACGTCTAGTGAGTGCTTACCACGTATCAGACAGCATGCTGAGTACACAATTATAATTCCACATTTAATCAACCCAAAACTCTAGGAAGGAGACACTATTATCATCTCAATTTTATTTTATTATTTTTTTTGAGATGGAGTTTCACTCTTGTTGCCCAGGCTGCAGTGAAATGGTGGGATCTTTGCTCACTGCAACCTCTGCCTCCCGGGTTCAGGTGATTCTCCGTCCTCAGCCTCCTGAGTAGCTGGGATTACAGGCATGCGCCACCACGCCCGGCTAATTTTTGTTTTTTAGTAGAGATGGGGTTTTATCATGTTGGTTATGCTGGTCTCGAACTCCTGGACCTCAGGTGATCCATTCACCTCAGCCTCCCAAAGTGCTGGGATTACAGGCTTGAGTCATTGTGCCCGGCCCTACTATCTCCATTTTATAGTCAAGCAATGGCTTGAGACAAACTCCCCAACTTGCTTAACATCACGTAACAGAGTCGTGTCAGAGACAGATTTAAATCCACATAGTCTGAACTGTTACCAGAGCGTCATGAGATATAAGTGTAAAGAACACAGTTACTGGCACATGGGAAATATGCAATAAGTCAGAGCTATTATAACTAAAAGGAGAAATATTTCAGAAAGGATTTTAGATAAGCAGTGGACATATGGAGAGCAGATGACTCAAGAAAAAAACATGTGAGAAAAAGGAAGAATATGACCAGTTATCCCTTACGGGCATTTCAGCATTTTCTTGCTAAACAGGCATTCTCCAGGGAAACAGCAGATGTTCAAGGGACTAAGGTAAAGAAGTTAGCAGTCCCACCACACCTCTACAGTCCCTGAAAATATCACGTGGATCTTGCTCTGTGAACTGTTCACTGAATGTGCCCAAAGCTGTCTCTTACTGACCCCACTTGGGAATGCTGTGTTTGATATGATGAGGTCTCTAACAGAGGATGTCCTTCCTGCTTCCCGTTTCCATGTAGATGGTAAGATCCAGTCCCTGTTCTCCTGAAATAAGCCCTGAATTCCATTTCTTCATTTTGTGATCCCTGATATTCACAGATGAACTAAATAAAAAGGCTGACTGGAGCAAAGGGATTCGATCTGAGATGCTTACCTGCTCCAACCTTTCAATGAGCTCTGCAGGAGTTAGGACCACTTCCTCACTACCCCCATCAGAGTCCTGTCCCAGGAAATCCAGTTCTTCGGTCATCTTCTCTGAAACCAGGAACCTAATGAGAAGGAAAGAACCAATACTCTGCAATGCATTTTCTATTTCTTTGCAAGAATAGACATCTATCTGGAGAAGGGAAAGGTTTATTGCAGTTTCCTGCGGTTGTAGAGGCCCATTAGCAAGTGGTGAGAGAACGCAGGGACTCTAGTTTTCCAGTATCTGCCTCTTCCTCCAAGGCTCAGGTCAGGTATCCATTTTCAAACAATCCTCCCCTTTATTACTGCCCACCAGGAACTGACCACCTATCACATCATACAATCACTATTCATTTCTTTGACTTCCCAGCAGAGGTCCTGTTCCTCAGGGACGGGGTTCGTTTCAGTTCACATACGAATCGCACCTCTGCTCAATGCCTGGCACTAAGCACTGGGGACGCAACGACTTGGGGAGCCCCTGCGCTCAGCACAGTGCTTGACTCCTAGCAGGCACTTAACATTGTTGGGAGCTGGCCGGGCTCACGCCTGTAATCCCAACACTTTGGGAAGCCGAGGCTGGAAGATACCTTGAGCCCAGGAGCTCGAGACCAGCCTGGGCAACATAGGGAGAGTCTGTCTCTATAAAAATAAAAATTGTTAGGAGGATTAATCAATGCTAATTTCCCAGAGCCACAAGGCCCGGCGAGATTAGACCAGTCGGCGACTCCAAAGGCCTAAGGAAGTGGATGGCGGGGACGAGCAAAGTCCCCGGGGTCGCAGGGAAACTGCCAACATTCCCCTCCCCTTCTACCTCTCAGTGCCACCCACACAGGCCTTCCTTCGCCACAGAGGTCCCACTCGACGCTCACTCGGGGACCTGGGAGACAGCGAGGCACTCCACAGCAGCAAGCGGTAAGGACGGGGAGTTCGTGGGGACGCAGTCGGGGAACCTGGAAGCAGGAAGACAGCGGAACAAACTGCTCAAGGCCTTCCGCAGATGAACCCGAGCCTCCAACTTCTCAGCTCCCGCGCTACTCTCGGAAACTTTCCGCCTAGGCAGGACGTCATCGCGCACGGGCGAGATTGACCAGTCAAGGCGCGGGGGGGAAGAGAGGGGCGGTCTTCTTGGGCCCGCCCACCCGAGGGGTGGGGACTGTCTTGGCGGCTGCTCGCAGTCCCAGCAACCCGTGGACACTAAGTGGCTGGAGGCTGGTCCGGGTGGACCCCGCCCACCTGGGTCCGCGGTTCGGGTCTGCGGTCCGGGTTGCACTACTCACGAGCGTCGGGAGGGAGCGCCCCGTACCGTGGCCAAGGGCAGTGGCGGTGTCCGCCCCGGGGGGTCCCACCCAGAAGTGTGCTGTTGAGAGCTGGCCGCAGCAGCCTCTTGGGTCGTCTCCACCCACAGCTCCCGTGGCTTTTTGGGTTCCTCCGTCTTTGCGGGGTTTCAGCTGTGGTCACTATGGTCGGTGCCTTCAGAATCTCCAGTACATTCCTTTTATCTTTCTTGAGACAGGGTCTTGCTCTGGTGCCCAGGCTGGAGTGCAGTGGCACCATCACAGCTCACTGCAACCTCTGCCTCCCGCGCTCAAGCGATCCTTCCACCTCAGCCTCTGGAGTAGCTGGGACCACAGGCCAGCGCCACCACGCCCAGTTACTTTTTAATTTTTTTTTTTTTTTTTAATGTAACTATGAGGCCGGGCGCGGTGGCTCATGCCTGTAATCCCAGCACTTCGGGAGGCCGAGGCGGGTGGATCACGAGGTCAGGAGATCAAGACCATCCGCGCTAACTCGGTGAAACCCCGTCTCTACTAAAAATCCAAAAATAAAAAAAATTAGCCAGTAATCCCAGCTGCTCGGGAGAGTGAGGCAGGAGAATCTCTTGAACCCGGGAGGCGGAGCTTGCAGTTAGCCGAGATCGCGCCATTGCACTCCAGCCTGGGCGACAGAGCGAGACTCCGTCTCAAAATAAAATAAAAATAAAAATAAAAATAAAATAAAATAAAATAAAATAAAATAAATAAAAAACTGTGGCGGGGCGGGGGAGAGGAGTTGTGTCTCCCTATGATGGCCAGGCTGGTCTCGAACTCAAGGACCCAAGTGATCCTTCCACTTCTGCCTCACAAAGTGGCTAGTGGTTTTTGAAGCCTGGGATCTGACCACCAGCAGCAGCATCGCCTGGGACTCCGCGACAATGCAGATTCTCAGGCCCCACCCAGGCCCACTGAATCAGAAACACTGAGGGTATTTCACTAGACCCAGGCCCTCCCGGTGACCCTGACGCAGGTGAGGTTTGAGAATCACTGCTTTGGGGCAATGCTTTCAACTCAGCTTCTGGAGGAGAAAAGCAAAAAAACCCATGTCTGTATATTTATATATTTTTTCCATCTTTGTGTGATCCAGTTTTTCTTCTCTGAATTGCTGATTCTTTTCTCTTTGCTGTCCTGCATTTTCTGTGCAAAGCGTTGCTTCTGGCTTCCCTAAAAGTGTCTCTTCTCCATCAGTCTGAGGGCTCTTTGTGAACCTGCCCTGTGATGTCATATTGATTGACTAGTAAAATGATTGGCTAATATAGGATGATTGTACCTGCCTGATTACAATCCTGTTTTAAAAATGACAATAGAATAAGCTGAGTGAGAGAGTGGGCATCTTTACAAAGGGTGTGTAAGCTGGGGCGTATCAGCACGGGATTCCCAAAAGGAAGGGACATTTGAACTGGGTCTTACAAAATGAATTTTGTGAGTGGCAAATAAGTGGCCATTTCAAGGTCTGTTTCAACGCTGTGTTTCAATGGTTTGGGCATCCCGTTGTTTTTGGTTTGGCAGAGTGTGTTTCCCAAACACAGCTGTTCTGACATGGATCTCACCCCACATACCCTTCTTACCATATGACACTGACACGCCTTCATCAAGAGGTGAGGTCTATGTTCTCATGTTTTATTTGTTTATTTAGAGACAGAGTCTGACTCTGTCACCCAGGCTGGAGTGCAGTGGGGTGGTCACGGCTCATTGCAGCCTTGACCTCCCTGGGCTCAGGTGATCCTCCCGCCTCGGTCCCCATGAGTAGCTGGGACTACAGGTGTGCACCACCATGCCTGGCTAATTTTTTTGTATTTTTAGTAGAGATGGGGTTTCATCATGTTGCTCAGGCTGGTCTTGAACTCAGGCTCAAGTGATTCGCTCACCTCAGCCTCCCAAAGTGCTGGGATTACAGGCATGAGCCACTGTGCCTGGCCCTGTTCTTGCCTTTTACATCAGGAAAGAGCTTTTTAACTGCTTTGACCAAGAGAATTTGGCAGAAGTGATGCTGCTTGGCTTCCAGGACTAGGTCATAAAAGGCAATGTGGCTCCCACTTGGCTCTTTTTTCTGGAGCCCTATCCCTTGAGAGCTGTGGGCTGATGTGGAAGAAGTCTGGCTAGCCTGCAGTTGCTGTGCAATAGAGTCCTTATGAAGATGCCAGGCAGAGATGGGGAGCCTTACTGGACGAACCCCAGAACCCCAGTTGTTCCATTCTCCAGATGTCTGGGTTGAATGAGCCTTCAGGTGATTCCAGTTCTGAGGCTTCAAACTGTCCCAGCTAAGATGAAGGGAGCAGAGATGAGCTTCTCTGCTGAACCCTGCCCAAATGGCAGATTTGTGAGCAAAATAAGTATTGTTGTTGTTTTAGGCCCTATGTTTTGGAGTGGTTTGTTATGTAGCATTCGATGACTGAAACAGTGGTCTTTGAGCACAATCCTATTCTTCCATAATTCTCATTACCAAATAGCTTTTCAATGATGTTTATTAATATTCCTTAAGTGTTACAGATTTGAGTCCAAGCATAGATAACATCTCTACACAAGTGCCGATTATGTACTTTATTGATTTAAAAACTTCCCTTCTCTGGGTCCAATCACCGTCTCCAATCTCCCCCGCTCCTCCACTGGAGAGCTAGAGCCCGGCTTCTGCTTCGTTACTTAATAGAGGTGTGACCTTAAATGAGTCACTTTGGATTTCAGTCACACCACCTTTTTGTTGTTGTTGTTGTTAGATGACGTTTTGCTTTTGTCCCTCAGGCTGAAGTCCAGTGGTTGATCTTGGCTCACTGCAACCTGTGCCTCCCGAGTTCAAGCAATTCTCCTGCCTCAGCCTCCTGAGTAGCTGGGATTACAGGCATGTGCCACCGCACTTGGCTAATTTTTGTATTTTTAGTAGAGATGGGGTTTCATCATGTTGGCCAGGCTGGTCTTGAACTCTTGACCTCAAGTGATCTGCCCACCTAGGCCTCCCAAAGGGCTAGGATTATAGGAGTAGGATTACAGGAGTGAGCCACCACACCCAGCCATCAGTCATACCACCTTTTTTTTTTTTTCACTCTGTCACCCAGGCTGAAGTGCAATGGCGTGATCGCAGCTCACTGCAATCTCCACCTTCCAGGTTCTCCTGCCTCAGCCTCCCCAGTAGCTGGGATTATAGGTGCGTGCCACCATGCCTGGGTAATTTTTATATTTTTAGTAGAGACAGAGCTTCGCCATGTTGGCCAGGCTGGTCTCGTAACCCTGACCTCAGGTGACTTACCTGCCTTAGCCTCCCAAAGTGCTGGGATTACAGGAGTGATCTACCACGCCTGGCTAGTCACACTACCTTTTACATAAGAATAATATGTGTCTGCCTGAAGACAGAGGGACAGACCAAAAAATTGAGGGACCCCTTTCACTTCTAAGATCTTTGATTACAACTAATATTCATTAGACAAAAACACTTCTAGAGGAAATGAGTTGGCAGAAAAATATTTCTACTATGTAGAGAAGGGTTATTAAAAGAAATGCCAAAGCAACACACAAACTTTCGGTGAAAGTGTTGATCATTTGGCACTGTAAAGTTCAGGAAGGTGGTAGAAAAGAGGTCTTCAGTTACATTATGCAGAATGAAGAGAAAAATCAGGAACATCTGGTTGATGTGCACCCACTGTCAATAAGTGTTTTAGAAATAATAAGATAGCCATATAAATGGAATGCAATTCATTAGAATGATCACAGATAAAAGGTGTTACAGATTTGAGTCCAAGCATAGATAACATCTCTACACAAGTGCCGATTATGTACTTTATTGATTTAAAAACTTCCCTTCTCTGGGTCCAATCACCGTCTCCAATCTCCCCCGCTCCTCCACTGGAGAGCTAGAGCCCGGCTTCTGCTTCGTTACTTAATAGAGGTGTGACCTTAAATGAGTCACTTTGGATTTCAGTCACACCACCTTTTTGTTGTTGTTGTTGTTAGATGACGTTTTGCTTTTGTCCCTCAGGCTGAAGTCCAGTGGTTGATCTTGGCTCACTGCAACCTGTGCCTCCCGAGTTCAAGCAATTCTCCTGCCTCAGCCTCCTGAGTAGCTGGGATTACAGGCATGTGCCACCGCACTTGGCTAATTTTTGTATTTTTAGTAGAGATGGGGTTTCATCATGTTGGCCAGGCTGGTCTTGAACTCTTGACCTCAAGTGATCTGCCCACCTAGGCCTCCCAAAGGGCTAGGATTATAGGAGTAGGATTACAGGAGTGAGCCACCACACCCAGCCATCAGTCATACCACCTTTTTTTTTTTTTCACTCTGTCACCCAGGCTGAAGTGCAATGGCGTGATCGCAGCTCACTGCAATCTCCACCTTCCAGGTTCTCCTGCCTCAGCCTCCCCAGTAGCTGGGGCTACAGATGCGTGCCACCGCACCTGGCTAATTTTTGTATTTTTAGTAGAGATGGGGTTTTGCCATGGTCGCCAGGCTGGTGTCGAACTCCTGACCTCAAGTGATCCACCTGTCTCAGCCTCCCAAAGTGCTGGGATTACAGGAGTGATCTACCACGCCTGGCTAGTCACACTACCTTTTACATAAGAATAATATGTGTCTGCCTGAAGACAGAGGGACAGACCAAAAAATTGAGGGACCCCTTTCACTTCTAAGATCTTTGATTACAACTAATATTCATTAGACAAAAACACTTCTAGAGGAAATGAGTTGGCAGAAAAATATTTCTACTATGTAGAGAAGGGTTATTAAAAGAAATGCCAAAGCAACACACAAACTTTCGGTGAA